CCTGGTCTCATGCGATTCTATTTTTTTTTATTAAACAGCCCAACAGCAGCCGCATGTAGCAGCTGGCAACTCATGGCTTTGAAGCTGCTCAAGTGGCCAGCAAAAATGAACTGGCCAAAAACCGAACTGGTCAGCGGCAGCATGAGTTGCGATTTGATTGCCCTGCCACATACGCTGAAATACACAGCGAAAAAAGATCACAAGCTCCTTTTAAGCCATTTTCCATAAGTTTCCAGTTTCCATAAAATGTTTTGTAACTAATGCAAGGCTTAGCGCGCTTTTTGTTTATTAAATTGTAGGGAAACCATTTATTTAGCATTTGCCAAGATCTCTTACTTTTAAGTACGAGTATCTCAGCGGGCATACGCTATCTTTGAAGTAGATGCCATCCACATGATCGCTGCTCGCATCTTGAGTGGCAAAATCATGACCTAATAATGCCTTTTTCTCCATGTACTTGTGGACCATGGAAGACCATGAAACTGGGTCCGTGGAGCAACAGCATTCGGAAGCGGAAATGAAGGCATCCATTATGTATACTCTAACAGAGGGCACAATGGCATTTGTCAACTGGACGCAACTGGACTCACAAAGAGGAGCAGAGTCCGATTCCGATTCCGATTCCGATTGCGATTCCGATTCCTCGTCCGGATTTGAGGGTCAGAGGTCAGAGATCAGAAGTGGCTGCATTGTTGTCTTTTCACCTTCGAGTATCTACTGATTTCATGGCATTTTGCAGTCGACAAAGTGGCAAAATTCCGTTGATCCAAATCCAAAGGAATTCCTTTGACATCCAGGGTATGCTGCGCTTCGCAATTGACTTCTGCACTCTATGAATTTCTTCAGTCAGTTACGCTCTTTTTACGCTCTTTCTTCTGTTAATAATATTCAAATATAATGCAAACAATGTGCCAGAAAGTCCACGCAAAGTTGTCGCCCCACTGGGGGCAGGGGGAGGCGGAGCCACGCCCCCATCCCAACGACATCGCTCATAGTTTTCACTCAACTGTTTGCATTAATTTGATTCCTCTTTGGTCCGTCGCCGTCGCCGCTCTTATGGCTCGTTTTGTATTGTAATATCCGGCCGCTTTGGCCGCGTTTCCTGCCTCAAAAAAAAAAAAAAAGTCGACAAAATAGAAGTGAAAAAAAGAGGAAAAATATAGGAGGCGTTTATTTTTTATTCAGCGCCACTTTTGGCCACCACACAGCCGACTTTGCTTGGCGGCTGTGCGATTTCTGCCAACATTATGCAGCTCTTTGTTTGCATTTTCCAACTCATTAAGAGTAATTCGCTTTGCTCTTCGTTATGTATTTTCATTTTTTTTTTTGGTTTTTTGGTTTTTTTGCCAGTCTTCTTCCAATTTGGTTCAGCTTTTTTCAATTTGCTTTGCGTTTTTCAGCGGCGTGTTAAAGGTGCTCGAGTGGAAATTAAACACGACGCCAGTACGCGCACTTTTCACCTAGGCGCCCAGTCACCCACTTCAGACCTGGCCTAAATATTTATGGGCGGCCTAAATAATGGCCAGAACCGTTGAGGATGGTCTGAGCGGACTGGACTGGACTGGCCAGGACTTTAGTTAATTAATCATCGCATGAAAAATCACTGTATCAGTGGTCAGCAACAGAATCGCAGGACGTGGATGTGGATGTGGATGCGGTTGTGGATGAGGATGAGGATGCGGATGTGGAGTGTTCAGTGTGTGTAACTGGAGGCGAAACTAAACCTGAACCACAACTGAAACTTGGGGCCTAAGCGAGCCCATAAATAAAGTGACAACAAACACACACGAACTGCTGTGAAAATTACGCACGAGATTGTTGAACAAGCCAACAAACAACAAGGACGACGACGACGACAGCAAAATGTGGTCAAAACAGAGCTACATAAAAAATTGAAAAAAAAAAAAAAAAAACGTGAAAAAATGGGGGAATGTGACATGAACAACAAGGCGACTGGCGGCTGCCCACTAAGTATGCGCAAGTAAGCGATAGCCTATGAAAAGTGTCCCAAAGTGGGGAGATTTGGGGCTCAGCAACTTGCAGATAAGCCAGATATATATACATATATATAGCATTCCGCACAGTGACCGAAATTCACATAGTCCCATTGGCTGAAGTTAAGCCAGAAGTAATTGAACGATTAATCAATCGCCTGACTGTGTAAACTCAATTGTTCCTTATATGAAATCACATAAAATATCACAAAAATGTAAGAAAAAATTCCTTTTTGAAACACATTTACACATGTGGCCAGCAAAGATAAAGAGCGATTCAATCATTCCCTTTTGCACATTCCATGGCTCGAATACGTAGAATACTCGTATGCAGAATATATACAGATATGCATTCATTTTGTGTGCCAGATATTTACTGACAGAGAAAAAATAATAATTGTTTAAAAAGCTACTTGCAAATATTATTTGTGTGTCGAACCAATAAAGGAAATGTAAATGCTAAATGGAAAAGATGGTAAATGTATACTCGTACACAGTTTACACATAGTGAATTTACAAGTTTAAACGTTAAGCCCTAAGGCTCGATTTTATTTTGCTTTTTCAATTTGCTCTTTCACGCGTACATTAAATTTGCTGAATTGATTTTATAGTTAGGAGATAAAAACGAATGTTTACTATATTGATTTGTGTTATGCACAAACAACATGTTTCGGTTATTCAATACAACTTTAAAGGTTTTGCATGCAGTAAATTCAAAGTAAGGACATTCAAAAGTGACTTCTTTGGCCCGCCGGACTACCCGATTTATGCACTGAAATCAGCCAATTGGCCCCACTGTGCCGACACCGGCGCAAAGAGGACATCAAGAACGGACAGGCCCTGCAAAGCATGCAACAATTTGTGGCACTTGAAAGGCAAGTCGCCCCCAACGCCCGACGCTTGACGGTTGACGGTTGACGGAAGTCCGTTAGCGTGGCCAAAAACTAATGCTAATGTATGTGTGAGCAAGTGTCTCCCTGCGGTAGCAAATGTCCTTGTGGGGCAGCATGGCCAGGGCCAGCATAAAATAAATAATCATAAAATAGAAATAAAATGACAAATTATTTCCGTTTCCGTTGAGCGAACTTTGAGGCGTGCTGATGTGGGTGTGCCTGCCACTAGGCCACGCTGGAAATGGAGCTCTCGTGCCCAGACTGCTCCTATTTCTGATTCTGATACTGATTCGGATTCGGATTCGGATTCCTAGTTTCTAGCTGCTCGTACATGCCAGCAAAAAGTGTACGTACATGCCAGGAAAAAGTGTAACGAACTGCGCGGGAAAACGTGAGCATGGGGCCCAGAGCAAGGCGAAACTTGGCTAATATATGCGGCTGCCAGTTGCCAGTTGCCAGTTGCCAGTTGCCAGTTACGTCCGCCCTCGCCAGGACCTCAGATGATCCTGCCAGCTTGTGTGACAGGAACAGAAGTACAGCAGCACCAAGTGCATTATGTACTTAATGCGCCCCTGGATTCCTTTACCACTGGCATAAGTAATTGGCCCGTCGGCTTTCCCCTAACCACTCGTTTAGTCAGTAGAAAAAGTGCGGTACATCGGGGCGTATACGTGATGCCCAGCCCGTACGCACAGGCATTTTGATTTTGGCCTCCTAGGTAAGGAGCTCTTTCAATCGATAAGCGAACCTGCTCGTTGGCCATTGCCCGGTCACAATGGTTTTCGCAATGGTTAAATTAAATATTTACACACGCCGCAAATAGAGCCTTCATGTATGTGAGTGTGTGCCAGTTATGCCAGTTCATAATTAATAATTATTTTATTACTTTCACAAACAAACGGAGCAAAAGGGACGAACTCAAATAGGCAAAGCACTGAGCCTACTGAGTGCTCTATTTTAAAATTATAAATTATAAACTTCTTTACATACTTAAATATTTTGACAAATTTCCAAAGTTCGCTGACAGCCACTAATGGCTTGCATAAGCAGCTATTCAGTTTCAGTCAACGAAATCGCACAGTCAGGTAGCACAAGTCAAAACTTCATTGTAGCTTTGGATTGACAAACGCGAAGAGCGAATCAGCAGACCCGTTCACCACAAAGGGCAGGCCGTGAGCTACAAAATTATGACCGCAATTTGGGAAATGAAATGCATAAAGCAAAATAAGCAAATGGCACGCAAAGTGACCCGAGGCGGCGTCAAAACGCTCTAATTGGCCACACAAAGCCAACGACAGGGCTGAAGGGCTGAAGGTCTGAGGCTGAGATGTAGATGGCGCGATGAGTTGGTTTTTCAGATTCTGGGAAGGGGCGGCCGAGTGGGTGTGGCGATTGGGTGTGGCGGAAGGTAGTGGTAGTGAGTGGGGCTCCTGCGTTGCATAAACCTGGCTTAGCACACAGCCAAATCAGTTACTTCCATCATTGGGTAAATTTAAAACCGACTACACTTTACACAAGCAATCAGCACATTAATTAGTTCAACGAAAACAAATGCTTTGAAGGTGGGCTGCGTAAGCCGATCCCTATGACTTTTTGCGCTTTCACGTGTGGGTGAAATGAGTGAAATGAGTGAAATGAGCGAGTTCAAGGACCAAGCCTGCGGATATTTCACATTGAACTTGTTTTCAGACGACGCCCCGAGCAAAGTGTACCTAACCTCGTTTCGTATTTATCAACGACTCATCATTGTGATGGAGGGCGCTTGTCAGCGGGCCACGCCCCGCGTCGAGTGTGTATTATGCCGCCACCCCGGGGAGCGGAGAACCTGGGACCTGGTAACTGGTAACTGGCAACTGGCAACTGCTAACTGGGAACTCTGGTAACTAAGAACGTGGACCGAGGCCGCTCCCGGCGGCCTCTTTCGGGAAACGGGCCCCAGGAGCCCCAGGAGCCCGAAGCGCCAGCGCCAGCGACATCGCCGTCGATGCCGGCAAAGGAATCTCTAAAATGGCGTGCCGAACCAAAATTAAGCAAATAAACTTGTCAACACATTCAACTTCATTATCGAGCCAAAAAAAAAGGCCGCTCCCCGCTGGCCTGAAACTCACCCGACTGCAGAGCTGTTGCGGTTTTCACGTTTTTCCGTATGCCCGATTTTTGGGCTCGAGCCCGTCCCTGGGCGTCCTGAAAAGAAGAAGAAAAAAACAAAATATAAAATTAGAAAGGGAATTATTATGACCCGGCTCAGGCTGCGAGATCCCAAAAATGTCCGTCCAGGAATATTCATATGCGAAATATATTATTTTGTGGTTTAATTTGGAGTGCCTGCGGCGACTCCGAGATGAGTGAAGGGTTTTGGCTACCAAAAAGATTTGCAATCACGCACCCAACTTGGCAGCCGGCGGCAAGGAAAACACACTCGAAAAATCCCTTGAATAATTCAAGTTATTCCCCTCGGCACGAACTGCGAAACTCAGTTGCACTGCGAAAACTGAATGTTTATTTAGCTTTACGCTGTTGATTTGTTGCAAAGCTCTTTTTACCATATAAGCAACATGAATAACAGTCTGCGTAATGGAAAAAATGATACCTTTGTACTTAGCAAAATCAAATTTGGGCAATTGGCAAAAGCCAACATGAAAATGGGCCAGCAAATGAATCCGCAAATTGTTAATTAAATGTAAATTATTGGGGAATTAAATCATAATATGGATGCAATTAGTTCCAAGCGCTGAAAGTGTAATTATGGTACTTGTTTGCCCATGAATTTGGGACACCTACATATACTTGTATTTAAATAAATGCAACGTAATGAAGGGTTTTAAGTTTGTCAAAATTTGTTGGTAGCGAAGCCGCTTCTGCTTTCACAGGGCTCAACATTTTTCATGGCTCTTGTGTCGAACTGAGATAAATCATGAAACTTTATAGTTTTACAAGCAGTTGGACACACAATGCCCAACATAATCAGGTGAAGCAACAGTGGGCATCAATTTTACAGCCCCCCAGGCGGGGATCCAAACAATTTGCGCAAATATTGTTGTTTGCATATCGAACCCGTCTCCCCATCGCCATCGCCATCGACTATCCGTCCACATCCACATCCACCATCGCCATCGAATCCACCATCGGCATCGCAGCACAATGAGCTGGGCGAGCAAACAAATTTATGACCATCATAACGGCCGGGCCTGGTCGAAGTGGAGTCGAGTCGAGTTCGGCAAACACGGTCCGGACAAAATGTCCATAGTGCTACATAATAATCATAATAATAAATAGCAATAAAAATGCTACAAAGGAAATTAAATTTCTGTATCCGCAAAGAATTTCAAAAGTGCACACAGGAAACGACAGCGAATCCTGCGGGGGCAGGACTGTGGAGTCCTGCGGAGTCCTTTCGTTTCGACACTTTGCGGCCCTTAAATTGGCCCATAAGCTGTTTAACTGAGTTATCAAGGAGGCGGCCTCGAAGGCCTCCAGCCTCGGTTGCCAGGACTCAAGTGGCACTGCTCACACAGCATGACAGGATGGCTATATTAATGTTAATTAATGTTAAATGCCTAGGCGTTTCAAAATCATTTGTTTGGGAGTGAGTGTGTCCTGGAAGCCTTCGATTGCCCATCAAAATCATGAATAATTTGGTAATTAGTTCGGGTTGTCAAGCTCATTGCGCTATCGATAATTTCGATATATAGAACTGCTGATGGTATCGAAGTTTGTAATCGTAGTATTAGTAGTTAAGGCTTTTCAACATGCAAATTAAATGTCGTGAAGCAAAGAATACGTCTTTGGTATTCAGGCATTCAAGCCATTAATAAATTGAAATAATCCGATGGCCAAATCCAGCACATCATCGATGTTCCACCGCAAGCATTGCATAAATACCCAGGTGATTTTTGTTTGAAAGGTCAGTTATGATGGACTTCCTCTGGTCTCACCTAAGTCCTCTTTCGGGAGCGACGACGGATGGCATGTCCTTTGAACGAGCAGTGGCAAACCAATTCAGCAGTCGCATTTAACGGGCTGACAATGGCGCATATAAAGCGCTTTGTTCCACATCGCCGGCGATTGTGGGCGGTGCGGCGGTGGGGCGTTGTCCCGTGAAGGCAGGGGGCGTGGCCGGGCATATATGACGTGTGACAAATTTTTGCGGTTCCGAGGGTCCGAGAATCGGAGGTGGCAAATGCTAAATGTGTGTGTGTGGGTATGTGCAGCACGTCGATTCGCTCTCGTCTATGGCCGGAAAATTGTCCAACATATCCGGGAGCGTTGAGGTTGGCTGCCCATTGTGGAAAATCGGTCGTCCGAGGAGGTGGAAAAGAGGCGTGGGCAGGGGCAGGGGCAGGGGGAGGGGGAGGGGAAGTAGAAGGGGCAGACCGTTTTACTTGCAGTTAAATAGGGCGGAAAAATAATTGAACCATTATCAGGCAGTCTGACGTACCCAGAACCGCACACTCATACACACACTCACACACACACTCACACACACACACACTATCATAGGCCGCTAGCCAAGCCGGGCCAGTATATCCTTGCCTTGGTGAATAAATTTCGAGCTTGTTTTTGCCTTTGGTTTACTGTGCTTATTACAAAATATTTAACACCAGCCCATCCAACAGCCACGCCCACTGTCCACCGCTCGCTCGTCCCGACTGCAAATTGTTGCCTCATTGTAAAAATTTATGTTAATATTTTAAATTTTTATGCTGCCAGGCGGCGAGCTGGCTGAAGCGAAACTGAACGCCCCCAGTTGTTTGTTATTGGCCAGAATGGGGATGGCCTCGGTGTTCCGGGCACAACGGCCCTTTCCCTTGTCGCTTGTAAAATGTAATGTAATTTCTACGCTGGCGGGTCTAGGCCACGGACGTTGCCAGGACAAACAGGACTCGGTGTACTCGGTGTTCCGTATGCCATATTCAGTTTGCAGTAGGAAGGATTTCCGCCCCACCACCTACTTTGCTGTAACAGGAGAGCCGCTTAAAGAGCGTTGGTGGTCATATTTTTTTAAAAAGCCGCAAAACTGCAATGACAGTTAACGTTGCTGGACACGCATGTGTAGTGGGATTTTATAAATATTTAACGCTCATATTTTATGCGCATTTTTCATACGGACCAGCTTGAGCGGACAACGGACAAATGGAGCAGAGGGCCAGAGGATGGCGGCTGGCGGATGGTGGACAACAGGACTGCAGGACGTTTGGCATCATTAATTAATCCCAAAACGTTGATCCTGATGGACCGCAGAAACCCAGAAAGCCCATGGCGTTTCGCACACACCGGTTGACAGGCTGCTGCTTTGGGCTTTAAGTGCTGCTGCTGGTAGGAAAATTCTTCACTGGAATTATGAAGGGAAAATAAGCGGACACCAGCTGGAAAATGCTAAGGCTTCTGCTACTTTGCTCCTGCCTTTTGCATTGTGTGTGTGTGTGTGTGTGTGTGTGTTTTACATCACGTCCTTTTCGCTCAGCATATTGCGGCATGTTTTTGCGTTGAGCCTCATTAAGCGCACTTTGTCCTGCCGACTGTGTCCATTTAAAGGAAACTCCGTCGATCCAACCGCCAGCCGCCCGGCATCGCAATCCTCCGCTGATTCATTCCTTCTCGTTTGCCATAAATTATTTTTAAATGCATACTTATGTGGAATTTTGCCACGCGCTGCCGCGACAACTTTTCATAATTTTTATTTACATGATGCGGTTGTGGGCGGTTGTGCGGTGGCTGCAGAGGTCCTGCCGCCAGCAAGGACCAAGGATGGTCGGTCGGTGGACTGCGGAGGTGAGGCATTTTCAGTGGCGTCGTGTAACCGCATTAAAATGATTTGTAACGAGCGATGGCGTGTCCGTCTGAGGCCCGATGCCGTTGCAACGGCAAAAAAAAGAACAAAATAAACGAACAGTGCTGGAAAAGTGGCCAGGATGCATGCAGGATGTGCAGGGGTGTCCTGGAGCATTTACCACACGCATCACTTGCCACGGCGCCTGCATCTGAGTCCCTGACATCCTCCGCTGTCATCGTGCCCCTCGAATGCCATTGCATTTCAGCCGGAGGTCATTCGGGTCGGGCCATCAGGAGTTGGCGCTGGTTATCCTGGTTCAAATGCACTTTAAGTACACTTTAAAACGCTAAGACCTTTCTAAACTTTAAATTCTTAAAAATATGTAAAACTGCAAAAAACTAAGTTAAACATATATCAAACAATGAACCATTGATAATGAAACTAATGATTAAAAAATTTAAACTTTCAATTTTGATTGGCCAAAAATCAGAAAACGATTTCGGCCAAAAATTCGACATTTACCAAGGCCTTTTTCTTTACAACTTGACTAAAAGTGGTCATATAGCTAAAATAATTATTTTTTACATTTTTTATAAGATAAATTTATCATCAAATTTTACCAAAAAAAAATGAAAAAATTTATAGACTGAAAATTGAATTATTATTATTATTTCAATGCTATTTCAAAAAACATATTATTTTTGGGCGGAAAAACAGGAAAACGTCTTATTGCAAATTATCAATATTTACAAAGGGCTATCTCATAATTTCTTGTTCAAGAAAAAATAAAATGATGTCCATTTCCTCATAATATATTTATACAAGTGAGCCAATTTTAATAATCTAATTGTTAACTTACTTACATTCCTGGAAAAAGCAATTTGCTTTGCTTGAATTAAGCAATCCACTAACCAATCTGGCTTATGGATAAATTTGTTTCCCACCCTGCACTTAAATAAAATATTTGCAAAAACAAAAGCTGCATATAAATTATTAACACAATTTCCGACACCAAACTTTTCGCAGGGGAACTGAACTTTTTGCCATGTCTGAAATGTAAGCTGAAGTAAATATGGTGCATTTGGGCGTAATCCCAAGTGCAGCTTAGTTGGTTCCTTCTTCAGTCGGTCGAGTGTATACCGAATAATCCTCTTTGCTGCCCAGCAAATGGATAGATAGACACCATTCTATGCCGCACCATGCCACACCATCCCTACCCCAATCCCCATTCCTATCCCTATCCCTATCCCTATCCGAACCCATCCCATTGTAATCAATCTAATTATTATCAACTTTGCATTCGCAAATCCTCCCACAGTAGCTCCCCCGCCTGGCCCTCTACCCCCGAGGACTCCAGGGCCACCATATGGATGAAGCTTCGTCAATCTGCTCAGTTATATATAATACCATG